GGTATGATACAAGAATATGAAATTTTAATAGCAAAAGTAAGTTTCACTTAAAAATTTCAAATATTGGGACAAGAAATAACGGAAAGGGAACGGGTAATTTAGAAAATAAAAAATTATTATCTTAACTAATTCTAATAATATACAAAAGGGAATTATGGGTAACGGGTAAGGTGAAGACATACTATTTATTCATGTAGGTGGACCAAAATATTTCAGTTTGTTGTAGGACATGCATAGTGAACGGGTTTGACTGTTCTGATATCTATATTTATGTTATTTTATTCAAAAGTTTTAATGTTTTTCATTAGTTTATGAGATTTGATAGTTCCCAAATTTAATTGATTTCTAATTTATCAGTCATTCAGTTCACACTCGATCCAAGTCTTATATCATGTCGATTAAAATATTAGAAACTTTATGATAAACATAGTTTTTGCAACCAATCCGTGCGGGTCCATCCCTAGTATTTATATAAAAAAAAACATTGAAGCATCTAAGCGTTAAATTTACAATACGCGAAATTATGTTGAACTTTTACATCAAACTTACGGACCACAAAGGGACTGGATGCTAGGTCCGGTTTGATTTCAACGTATTATAAATTTAACACTTAGTTACAAAAAAACAAAAAAATTACTATTTACTTGAAAATTATTTGGTAAAAAGTAAAAACTTTGATATTTATTTTTAAATCATAAAAATCAGAAGTGAAAAAAACATAAAATCTTTTTATTTTTTTTTAAAACAAAATCATTATTCTTGTTTTTTTTGTGTGTCTTCAATCATTATTCTTGTTTTAAAATCAAAATCATTATTCTTAATTTTTAAAAAAAAAATGTAAGAAAGTATATAGTATACCTGCAAAGCTGTGATGTCTTGAGCATCCTGCTACCTGTTTGTTACACATAATACAAAACAAACCAATGAGAGAATCAGAGATGTCATCTTTATTCGTAATACCACAAATTCAATTCTCCAAACCAAATTATAAAGATGATGACTATTACGAAGCTGCTTGATACCTTGATATATTCACTATATAATCCTCCTCTTATGGATTCTCTTGTCCAAGTAGAATTAGACGCTGACATATGAGGATAATGAATGTTCTCCTTTTCCGGTTCTTGCTCTCTTCCTTCTCCCAGCTTCCCGAGGACACGTTTCATGAGGAGCAACATCGACTAGCATGTGATCCAAGCAATTTGATGGATACAAATGAACCACCTGCAAACCAAGAGAATAATGTTTAAATGGAAACAACAATACAAACTGAATTTGTCTTGACTTACTTGGTTGTCTTTGGCTGTCAAGTAAATGACCAGTGCGTTCTAAGTGAGCCACTTGTATGAAATAACCGGCGTGTGCTGATAATAGTAGTTAAAACGAGTGCTGCACATCTTCAGGTTGTTGAACCATGACGTTATCTATCCGAACTAGCTGCTGTCTAACATTGTCTGCAAATTTAATCGCTCTATTGTTGATGAAGTTTTCATAGGCACCAATTGGGATCTTCATCTGTGAGAATTTACATTGACCAAGTTAGTTACCATAAATTGTAATTGACAAAAGAGGAAGAGAAAGGGATGATCACTTACTGTATTTGCTTAAAAGTAGACTGCTCAACAATGTTAGATGATCTCCATCAATGTGTCCAAATCTAGCTTTAGCTTCATCTGCTGCTTTTTGAGACTCTATAGGTTGAATAAGGCAGAGAAAGAATTGGTATTTATAAAAGAAGAGGCCCATCGAATAGGTTAGGAGATGCATAAAGGCGATGAGACTAATACCACTTTGCTTCATGAGATAGAGAGAAAAAACTGAGAAACTGCATCAGCACTTACTTAGGCTACCCCTAAGTCCCTAACCATGGGTATGCAGAACCTAGACTAGAGACTGCTGATGATAAACTAACTCTAATACTTGATTCTAATTGATATTCACTACATACCTAACCAAACCTAGCAAGAATATTTTCAAGAAAACGAAAGTAAAAGGGTGGTACCTGAGAGCATGGCTAAAACCTAGAGAATCTCGTTTGAACAATTGAATTCAGGACTGACTATGAGCATCTTCACCACCTGTGGATCCAAGAGAACTCACTGATCACTATCTCACCTGTCTTTGTCAAGTTACCTTCATCATCAAGTGCTCCCAAGTAATACAAAACGGATTTTTTCGTGGGTTGGCAAAACCAGGGTCAATGACTTAGACAATCCCATATATAGTTAAGAAAGTCTTAGCAATGTTAATCGAGAAGACCAAAGACCAAATCTATGGCTAGTGATCTTTCTTCGAGAATAATCACTTTGAGGAGCGTTCCATTAGTGAAGTACCTGGTCATATCTTTAACACAAGTACATAAGATTAGAAAGAAAAGAAGCTAAAGAGAGAGAGAGAGAGGGAGAGAGAGAGACAATGCTTACTTAAGCACGGTTCTGGTGTCCTCAAAACGAACGGTGTAACCAACTTCATCAACACGACGAGACACAGACATGGCTACAACTCTACGAGGCTGTCCTGTGTGCATCCACTTCCTACGATTATCCGAAGTTTCAGCATCCACAACAAGTGTATAACAAAGTATGGGATTTGTAGAAATAAACAAATTTTACAAATTAGAATTAGGTATTCATTCTCTAAGATACTAAACATCATCATCTCTAATTAAATCAGTCCTAAAACTCAAATTCAAATCCAAGAAGACGAGGGCTTTTACGTATACCTCGCTCGATTCCTCTCTTTCACTTTTAATTTCAGTCTCTGGTGAAAGCTTCTCCGTGGCTAGACTTAGTATCCCGTGAAATCGATATTGATTTAGACTGAAGAAGAAGAAGAAGAACAGAGTCAATGAAAGGAAACGAAACGATGATATAAACTACTTTTTTCAATCTTACCCTTAAGAATCATCATCATCGCCTTGGGTGGATCATCATCATCGCGTTGGGTGGATCATCATCATCGCGTTGGGTGGATCATCATCGGCGGATTCACAGAGACTATTACGAATTCCTCTCTTCACTTTTCAGTTTCGTCGTAGTCTCTGGTGAAACCGATGTTTATTTAGAATGAAGGAAACAGACAGAGATCGATCGATCTGATCATTGAATTAATCAAACGAAACGATTATATAGGGATACTTTTCCAATTTTACTGTTACGGATCATTATCGTTCTAGGGTTTAGAAGAAGAGAGAGCTTTGAATTATCTTGAAGAAGAAGAAGAAGAAGCGTTGAGTATTTGAATAAACAAATTAAGGATTATGAAGTTCAAAAGGGGAAAAGGAAATTAATATATTTAATCTCACAACGGTCATATTTAATTATATTTTTAAGGTTAATTAAGAGTTTTCGTTCTGTTATTTCTTCATCATTGCAACGGTAACACAATCTTAAAGTCAACTTCTAGATAGTTTCATGCAGTACAGTTATAAAATTTCAAATTTCAATACTGAAATATGCAATTCATATTTGACTTTGAATATTACTTTACTTGCCATATGAGATAAAAGAAGAAAGATTAAACTAGAGTATTGTAGGGCTTTACCCCGAAGGGAGCCCTTCCAGAAATTCTCGAAGGCCCAAGACAAGCTTGGGCCCAGGAGGGGGTTTGGAAATAGTTTTCAACCAGCAATAGACGCGCCTCGGTTAGAACCTCATTAGCTGCGTCATTGCCCCAAGCGCAAAGATGAGTTATAACAATCTCAAACCCTCGTTATTTATACCCGAACAGAACCTCTCCTCTTATGACTTTCTTCCGATGTGGGATGTTGTGTATATCATCAATATAACAAAAGATATTTTTATTATTCTAGAAACCTAAAGAAGAAAAATTAGTCTCGCAGCCGCACGCACCCGGAGAAACAAAAAAAAATGGCTGCTTCGTCGTCCTCCTCTTCAGGTCGCGAATTCGAACTAGAGAAGGAGATAAAGAGGCAAGAGGTTTCGTTAGATGAATTGAGCTGTCTCTCTTCTTCTCGAAGCGTCTACCAGAAGAATTGCAACCTCTTCTTCCTCACCACAGCTGATAAAGCCAAAACCTCTGCGCAGAAACAACTTGACCTCGCGAAATCTCAACTCGGCAAGATTCGTTCCCGGACATAAACAATGGGAGCTTTGTAGTTCTCGATTTAGAGCTTACCTGTGTTTCCTATGATGTATTGCTTCATCTTGTTATGTTTTGCTATGAAAGATTCATACCACGAGGTTCAAATATAAAGAGTTATGGTATGATCTTGAATAATCGTGGAATTGATTGTAAATTTCTTGATTTTAATATGAAAATCATCTGTTCTGATATTACAATCTGGCGTATTGGTGCAAAGATCCTTCCTTTCGTTTGAAAGATTGACTTATCTGAGTAGTTGATTCTTGTTTATTGAGACTACTGGTTTCTTTGGTCCAAAGAGATCCTTCATCCTTCTTTGATGAAACACAAAACCTTCACTTAAAGAAACAAAAAGATTCTCGTTAGAGAGATTTTTGTGAACGCTTTTGTCTTGCAATAAGATTCAATATCAGAATCAGTCAAAGGTAAACATAGTCCTACCTTGGTAACTCTTGATTATTTGAACCATTACAATCAACAAGAACTCAGGAACAGAACATACATGGTACTGCAGTATATAAATAGGCCAGAGAGAGAACAAAGAAACACTTCCTATCTAAACTGATTCAAAACCAATTTTGTTTAAAAGAGTATTTTGCCTGTCCATATAATCATTCTTCAGTTTCAGCCAACTATTTGTTCGCTTTGCAGGCTCCTAGGTTGCATTCGAGTACAATGATTTTATCATTAACCTTCACGTCTGCAAAATAACATACACATCTGATGAAGAATTGAAACAGCATAGAGATAATGAGGCTGAGGACAATGTCAGATGGAGAAATAAGTGGGAGAGAGAGAGGAAATGGTCAAAATTGCAAACATATCATATCCTTAAACATGCAGAAGATACTCTCCAAGATAAAGAAGGTACTACATGAGGATTTTTGAGAGTTAAGACACATCTTAGCATAGGATAAAATGCATAATAGTATTTTATTTCTTTAATGTTTCCAACAAACAATTACATCCAACAGTCACATATCACATCCAACAATTACATACATTTCTCAGTCCAACAAGTTTTGATTAGTTGGTTTATGTAATTTAAATCCCACGGCTAGTAGTTTTTTTAGTGCTTCCTCCAATGTGCATCTCCTCGCTGCTTGAAGATGACGGGTCAAGCCCGTACTCGCTAGTGGCACCGTATTCGCTACTTGCTCCGTAATCACGACTGTCCACTGTCACTTTCCGAAACTTCCTCATCTCCGCACCATATGTTCCCATCTCATAGTCTGAGCTGCCTTCACCTCCGCTTGAACTCTGTCTCGGTTTCACACCATCGTCTAAGTCATCCAGCGAAGCATCACCCTCCAACGTTCGAACAATCTAGTAAAAATATAAGCAGTTCATATATAACTCCGTAAGAAATATCCAAGATCTCGATCAATAAAGGATATGTGTGACGCTTATTATTTACCTGACTCATCTTTGGGCGGCGACGACCAGAATGTCTTACAGCTGCAGCAGCACAAGCCACCATGCGTGCCATCTCGTAAGGCTCGTATTGGTTCTCAAGGAATGGATCAACCAATTCACTATAATCTCCGTCACGTGCTGCGTTCATGCATAATGGTCTCGCCTGCCAATAACAATTCATCAAACATTAATTTTTTTTTCTAGTATGCGTCTAAATATATGAGTAATGCATTACATACAGTATTAGAATATACTCACCCAGTCGACCAAACTGTCTTCCATGTCACCACTTAGATCAACCGGTCTGCGCCCGGTTACGAGTTCAAGAAGCATAACTCCGAAAGAGAAAACATCTGATTTCTCTGTTAGTTTCCCACTCGCTGCATATTCAGGAGCTAAGTATCCGAATGTTCCCATGACCCGAGTCGACACATGTGTGTTGTTGTCTTGAGAAAGCTTAGCCAAACCAAAATCTGCAACCTGGAGATTAGTTTCAAAGAATGTCAACCGAGAGAATAATTTAATTACATGTAAAGAGTCGAAACAAAGTTTAGGTATAGTTAAAACGTACCTTGGCTTCGAAGTTAAGGTCAAGGAGAATGTTTGAAGCTTTAATGTCTCTATGGATGATTTTAGGATGACCTAACCACAATTATCAGAACACAAACATATAAATATCTATCTTGGGATGTAGAGTTAAAGTGAAAAGATGAAAAGAGACTAATCACTCACAATCTTCATGAAGATAAGCAAGACCTTTGGCTGATCCTAAGGCAATCTTGAGTCTCGTTGGCCAATCCATCACACTCCCACTTTTTCCTTTAATTCAAATGATTTAGTGACAATTTGTGTTAGTTTTTTTTCTATAGGCTATAATCCTTCCCAAAGAACACAAGAAAACTTAACATTAATTACATTACCATGAAGGTGGAACTCAAGTGTGTCATTAGGGAGAAACTCATAGACCAACATCCTCTGTCCTCCAGCATTACTGCAGTATCCGACAAGAGACACAAGATGTCGATGATGAACGCGGCTGATGATCTCAACCTCTGCCTGGAACTCTCTATCGCCTTGCCCGCTTCCGGCTTTAAGGCTCTTCACCGCAATCTCCTTACCGTTTGGTAAGACTCCTTTGTGAACATATCCGAACCCGCCTTGTCCCAACAAACGGTCTTTTGAGAAACCTTGAGTTGCGGCAGCGAGCTCCTCGTAAGTGAATGTGCTTTGGTTGAATCCCAAAGCTACTGAAGGGTGAGGCGGTGGTAGAGATGGAGCGTATGGACCTGATGAGAAATTTGAGCCCATCTCGGCGCTATGGATAACATTTACGCCTCCTGACATCGGTGCTGGTGGCGACGGCATTGGCTGCCAATTTCCTGGAAGTGGTGGTGGGGGAGGTGAATTCACCCAATTTGTTCCCATTGATCCAGGTGGTGGAGGCAGATTCACAATGTGATCATTTTGGTTGTAGTGTTGTTGCTGTTGTGTAGCAACACTATTGAAATATTGATCATTCCCACCTAAAACCCCATCAAAAAAATAAGTAGTTAAGACAGAGACAAAACAAATTATGCTTTTCTTAGCTAAAATGATACTAAGGTAGACGAACTAGATAACACTAAAGCTTTAATAAATTGTATTGGGTAGTTAGGGTTTATGGTTATGTACACGTAGTATCAAATGAGATGGTATGTGAATATTTGATAGAGAAGAGCAGAGGAACATGATTTGTCTAATATCTTGGGTAACAAGAATCAAACCTCATGCTTTTTCTTGGCTAATAAGAAACTAAAGGGGTTTAATTAGGGTTCATGGGTTTTATGTATACATACTTTTGCCAGCGGCGTAAGCATTGCTTCCATAGTACGGCATCTGCTCAAGCTTTGATTTCTTCTTCTTTTTCCGTGAACAACAGACACATAACAAAATCATGACAAGGAACAAAAGTCCAGCTGCAGCCACAAGTCCTATAACAGCACCCATGTTCCGACCATCGTTACTTGAGGAATTCGAGCTACCGTCTCTTGCAGGTGGTGCCAGAGATTTAGGTGGCGAGGGAGAGCTATGGTCAGAAGTCTTAGAAGGTGGTGATGGAGGAGTATGGGAAGCGTTCTTGTTCCCTCCGTCGCCGCTGCTTCCGTCATTTCCTTTGTTATTATTGTCGTTATTGTTTCCTTTGTTGTCACTTTGCTGCGGTGGTGAAGGAGGTGGTGGAGATTGTGATTGTGAGGAGGAGTCAGACGGTGGTGGTGGAGGCGAAGAGGAAGAACCATCAGATGGATTTTCCGGTGAAGGAGGAGGTGGTGATTCTTGTTGTTGTTGAGGTGGAGGAGCTATGTCAGGTGAAGATGGAGGAGGAGGAGATGTTGTTTGTTGATTGTCGGGAGGAGGAGGAGATGTTGTTTGTTGATCGTTGGAAGAGGGAGGAGAAGGAGGAGGAGGAGCCGGCGGTGAGTTCTCCGGGGATTGCCCCTCCGCCATAATCTCTCTCTTTCTCTCCGGTGGTTTCAATGAAACAAGGAACACCCAACTCCTGTTCTTGTTCTCCTAGGAACAAGGAGAGAAGCAATTTTTTTTATTTTTCCAAGTTCTATTTTTAAGAAAGTTTTTTTTTGTTGTTTTCTATATTTGGGAATTATACAGCGAGGCAAAAATAAAAATATTGACAACGGACAATTTCTACGTTACAGCCTAGATTTCATTTCATGTTTATAAAATGTAATAAAAATTGCTCTCGTTGAGAGTCGAACTCAGACTCCCGCTTACTAAACGGGTGCTCTAACCAACTGAGCTACGAGAGCCATTTGTTCACAGATTTTCATTTTATTATAATCAAGCAGTTTGACAACAATAGCGTTAAAAACTTCAGTGGAGCTGAAACCATCATTAATTAATGCAAGGATTTAGGGGTATCTTAGCCTAAGATTTACAAAAGATTTAGACTATTGCATTTCATAAAAATTTAAACAAACATGACATATAACCAAATTCAAATATGAAAATCATAAAACAAAATAAATTAATTAATTATCGATACTAAACCTTATCAGAACATTTTGAAGCCACAAACCTGAAGACTGTCTGAAATTATTGCATTCAAACAAAGCGGAACCTAAACAGACAAAGAGAAGAGAGGAGAAACACTCGAAGAGAAGATAAACCGGACTCATCTCTGCAACGATTGTCGGATTTCATTGAGGAGTTCTCAAGAACATGGGATTCTCAAGTGTAAGTATAGATAAATATTAGTTTTTTAATTGAGAGTAGTTTAAAATCAAGAGAACTCCACGGCAAACCTTCTCCTTTAAAATATTTGATATACTTATGATTGACTTGATTTTTTTAAAAAAATAAGGTTTAATTATGTACTAAAATGATATTAAAATATCAAAATTATATAGATGAAATCAAAACTATGAGATGCTTTAAAGTAATCTTTCAAACAGTAGTTTTGGCTCACAAATCAAAACTATGAAATTTTCTCCATATTAGAAGACATATTTAATGAATTGATTTTTTTTTTTGAATCTAATGTTAAATTATATTCAAAATAAAAATAACGTTTTTACAACGAGTGCAACTTTTTCTTAAACGTTAAAACCGAAAAAACATATTTGAGTTCTAAAACAGAAAAAGGTTAGAAGCGAGATTGGAGCCACCGTTGGAAGCCGTCGGTGTAGCGTCTATCACCAACTTTGCCGATCATGGAGAGCTGATTTTTGACTTGTTTGTCGACCCAGTCCGTGATGTGAGCAGCTGAATTTGGAGGCTCCCCATGGCGTCTTTCATTTCGTTCTTTCCACACAGTGTAAATAACAGCTTGGAAGACATACCAGAGGAGAAAAGTGTGTACTTGATCTTGTTGAGGTGCCGAGATAAAGTCCAAAAGAGCAGACCAGTCCGTTGTGTAGCGAGATTTTAAGAGACCCTTTGCAAGTGAAGCCCATATTCCCGCAACATAATAATCACAAACGAAAAACAGATGATCCCTTGTTTCAATATGGTTTTGACAGATCAATCCACAAATGCCAGAGTAGCCCCGATCAATTGATTTTACAGAAAATAATAATGAAGTTTTTTGAAATTTTTTTTACAAACATTGAATTTTTAATGAGAATGGAACATTTATTATAACTTTATAAGTTTCAAAGTGTTGCAAACCAGACATCGTGGTTTCATACATGTATTAGGGCTAAAGTTTCATCTTGGATATGTCTGAGTATTGCGAAGATATAAATGCAACTTACACAGTTATTCATGAAACTTTACCGTTCATTACATTAACAAGATTTCACATTCGTTGTAGATAACTAGATTTGAAAATTTAATAACAATTTGTAATAGGATTTGATCAAATAAATATTTCCCTTCTTCAAACAAATGAAAAATATCTGAACCCAAATAAATCTACTCGTCATAAAGGATTATGTTGTGCATTTTGGTTTGACGACAACACTTTTTCGCATCAACAAAATGAAACTTCATAAAGCATTCATTTCGATACATTCCATTTCTAAATATAAAAAACTTGTTTTCCTTATTCGATATTAAACATCAAAACTTAACCTAGAGTTTATACTGTTCCTAGGGTTTCATATCAGCTCACATCGACCTCCTTGCTAAACAACCAATCAATCACTTGTATTGTTGTCTTGTTGAGTGAATGTTTGTGCAAACATTAAAGAGTTTCATATTATATATTCTTAGGCCGTAAATGGTTTTCCTTCACAGGAATGAGATGAAAATAGACTGGTGAAGTATATAGTTTTCATCTTATATTCATCTCTTGAAAATAGTATGAAATTTTTTTCTTATTTTTGTTTAACTAATCAAAGATGAAAGAAATGAAGAATCGTTTTCTATATTTTCAAATCAAATGTATGAAACAGTTTTTAATATATTACACCATCATTGTCCTATGTTATGTTCTCATATGTCATGTAGAGTTTATTCCACTTCCGCTTTTCGTGTGGTAATTTCGTTTTTCCTTTTGTAATCTAGCTTCGTAATTCTAAAGAATCGTAATACTAAATCTTCCTAACTTTTCTAAACTCTTTGTAACTTAAGATGAATGGCATCCATTAAACTGCATGCTTACATGAAAATGTTTCAGATTAATTAGTTTAGTGAAAGAGTAAAAGAAGCAAAACAAATTCCAGTTTATTATAGACATATATAACACATTTATCATACACACTATTAACAAACAATGGTATGTAGTAACACCCTTGACACTTGTTATTTCATGAGCTACTTTTGTTCTTTTATGCAATATCCTTTTTGTCTACTGTTACATCAATTCGTATTTGTCGTCTACACATACGACGTATATGTACATTTTACAAAACTCAAAAGAGTAGGTTTGTTTTGTAATAAGGTTAACAAAGTATGACAAATGTATACATATATACTCTTCTAATTTCATGACCAGTTGATTTTTATTTATGAGATAACATATTGCTTACTATTACCTTGATTTTAAAGATAAAAAAAAAAAGGAAACATATGTAAATATTGTAATTAAAATATTTCACATTTTAAAGAAATATTAACAATTTCTGCTTATGGAGGATGTGAGAAAAAAAAATTGTTTACTTGACTGGGGGTATAAACTGAGAATCCTTGACCAAAGAACAACAACATATCAGGTTTATGATTTAATTGCTTTTAGAAGTTACTTATAATCATCTAAATATTTGTTCTTGTAAATTTTCCCCTTTCTGCCGATGGAATTGTTAAACATTTTTTGTTGGTGAAAGATGGAATTGTTACTCATTGTAAAGAAAAACAAACACCCAAGAACTAGGAAAATAATTATTTTATTATCGCCAATCTAAACATATACTAATGTTTTACACATTAATAAGATTGATGGCACATATTCATTAAACAAGAAACAACATAATCCAAGAAGCACAGATACACTCAAACATTAAAGGCTGAAGGTAAGGAGGCTGAAGGTGAGGAGGCTGAAGGTGAGGAACTGTTCTTGCGAATGTACTTACGAGCCCAAACATGTTTGCCATTGATGGTGTACTTGTTCTTGAACTTCCCAGTCACCATCTGATCCATCATCGAAGCACACTTGAGTTTCAACACCAACTTAGCAAACAAGGGCTGGTCATTTCCCTCAACATCTTGCATATGAATCACTTCAATCACATCCCCAAATCTCCTAGAGAAGAAATCTCTTACCTCATCCTCCGAGATCGGATACCCTTTGGAGAACGTCAGGAACACCGTCCGGTCATCCACCGCCGCCGCCGCTGCTCTCTCCTCTTCAGTCATCCTCCTCTCCCCGGCTGCCCTAACAGGAGAAGGAAAAGAAAACGTTCCTTGTTGCGCAATAAACCTGTTAGGGTTTTCTTGTTGAAGAACACTCAACCTATGTTTATCCTTATTGCAGATACGTGCGTTCTCGCATATATCTTCGAGGGCTCGAGTGCAGACGCCGTTCCAGTTCTTGGCCAACGAATCGCGAAAAGTCTCGCCGCTTTGGTTGATCAACGAGAGAGTCAACTTCATATCAGTGATACGGTAGAGCAAAGGTATGATGGTTAAGTCGCCGTCGGTGGCAGCCATGACCGTGGATGCGAACTCTTGGTTGTAAAGCAAGGTTATACACACACTTACTTCGTTAGCCAAAGCGTTGAGTAAGTTGTCTGGTATAGTCAAGAGAGAGGCGATGAGTTTGGGAGCGTAACCACACTGCTCGAGCAACATGAGAAAACCCATCGCGAGAAACGACTGATCCACGTCACGGCTTAGTTGAAAAACAAAACGCTTGAACAAGTTTCTGTCGATTTTGTGAAAACTGTTGAACTCCTCACGACTGATCTCACCGGAGGAAAAGGAGAAAGGAGCCTCTAAGAAAGCCGAGAACAATGGACCTCCAGCCGCCATGACAGGTTTTTTTTTGCTTTTGCTTGGAGGAGATTATGTGTGGTGATGGTGATGTTATCAAAGTGATTAGGAGAGGGTTTATATAGAGAAAACCAATGAAATGGTGAAAAGGCGTAATCTTATTTTCCCATAACAATTTGCATTCATTTCCTTACAAGTGTAATTTTTGTCCTAGTTCATGTCTCTAATTAATTACATACACAAGTTTTGACCTTCCGGTTTAGAAAGAGGATTGGTGTCTTTTACTGGCGAGCAATGGTGACCCTTGGATCATCATCACTCATTACCCATCACCATTGGATCGTTATCATCATTTTTTTTTTTGCCATCTTTTTAATTGTATTTCTGTTTTTGGAGGAGCCTAAAAATCAATATATATTACTTTCCCTGAGACTAAATTATAAAGAAAGAAAAAAAAATCAATTCTTCCAAATTTGTTACAGTATCTTTTGACAACTTTTTGTTGAATTTGAGATAAAATTTATACGGTCAACATTTGATATTAGTATTTCTTTCTATAATGTCATTTAAAGTATTCTTATCTACAATCTTATTTGATTAGATTCTATATATTTATATCATTTGATTAAATATTTTTAAATTTATATTTATATCATTTGATATTAGTATTAGATTTGACTAATTTGATTTATCTAAAATAAGAATTTAAAAGAGTTTATGTAGTCATATAATATATATTTTCTAAAAATATATAATTAACCACATTTTTTTACTTTATAAAAAATGTATTTTTTCTTTTCCCATGTCTTATAAGACTTTTCGATCATTAATCTAACTTAAAAAAAGAAATTTAGTGAATGATTATAATCGTAAAATAGTAAATAAAGAAAAAGTACCGTCGTACGGATTGGCCAAAATACTAATTATGAACGATACACGTATTTGGTAAAAGAATATATTACTGATCAGAATAGCAAATACGTATCATGAACAAATATGTACGGTTCTGTGTTTTGTTTATAAATAATATAACATATTTTTAATTTGAATTAACAAAAAATCTGTAATAAGTTGAAAATGATGTTTAATGAAAAAAGTACTTTCGTACGGACCTGCCAAAATACTAATTATAAATAAAATACGTATTTAGTATAAAAACAAAAATGTAATCGAGATAGCAAAATACGTATCATGAATAAATAATTACGACTCGATGTTTTTTATAACAAACTACAATATCAAATAATTTAAAATATATAAAATTTCAACAAACAACAAAAAAAATGTAATAATTTGAAGATGTTATTTTGATAGACCATAAGATTATTTACCTTTTACAAAAAAAGTCAAAATCATTATCTAATATATATAAATTTTCTGTATAAGGTTAATTAGCTGTATAAACCTGTATTACAAATATCATAAAAATAATTTATATAGATTTCTGTAAAAGGCTAACTATACGTTACAAATAAAAATAAAACAAAAAATAACAAAAAAATCCAAACGATGTGTAGTCGTTGGGTTTTAACCTTTTTGTAGTCGTTGGGTCTTAACTTAGTACTGATCTTTTGTCTTTCGATGGGCTGATCTTTGTATAGTTAAATGTGTAAAAGGCTTTTCTCAAGCCTGGTTAATTGTTGTAACCGTATCCTCTATTAATATAATATCCTTTTAAGTGAAAAAAATAAAATAAAAAAATGATATTATAATTAGACAGGTCAGCAACAACAGCTCTCAAGGGGCAAAAGGAGAGAAAGAGAAGAAAGAAGCAACAAACCCAGAAATCGCAGCAGAGCCCTTTCTCTCTCGTTTCCTCTCCGTCATTGTCACTGTTTCGATGCCTTCCCGTAGAAGAACTCTCCTCAAAGTCATCATCCTCGGTGATAGCGGGTCAGTTTCTTCACCGACTTACTCTTTCTCTATCTCTTTCTATGTCTATGTATCTGCTTCTACATGGTGATTTTAGTCTCTTCGATCAGTAAGAAAGTGATTTTTCTGGGTCTGGATTTTGTGAATTGCTTGTTGATTAGACTGGATCTGAAATTGGAGTGATCTCATCTCTTAGGTTGTTGATTTTTCGATTCAATTGTTTGGAATTGGATTTGTAAAGTTCTCGGTGACAATTTTTGAATCAAAATTAGTGCAATTGGGGAAAGTTTTGGTTATCTCGTAGGCTCTTAAGTTCATGATGTATGATTTTGTTCTTCTCTCAGTATGATTCAAGTTTGGTGTTTTTGTCTATTTTGACTTGAAAGATTGAATTTTGTATCATACCCAAGATTTGTATGTTCTGAACTGTATACCATCTGTTGTGATGCCTAGTGAAACTGTAGTGCTATTTGATTAATATGTGTTTATATCTTGTATTATTTCTGGAAGTCTATTGTTATATATGTTTATTCAAGTTATGACATGACTCATTGGGTATTTTGAACTTGTAATTTTGCAGGGTTGGGAAGACCTCTTTGATGAATCAGTATCCTTAATTGTGTGAACGGATTGTAAGGAATTTATACTACAATGGTTTTTTTTTGTTTTTTGACATCTATACAATGGTTTTCTAACTATGGATGGATACATTATCTGTTTTACTACTAGTAATCTGCTTTATTTTGAGTTAGATGGGTTCTTGTATCTGTTTTACTTTAACATCACGCCTTTAGATATGTCAATAAGAAGTTCAGCAACCAGTACAAGGCAACCATTGGGGCAGATTTTCTGACTAAGGAAGTACAATTTGAGGATCGGCTTTTCACTTTACAGGTTTGTTGTAACAGCACTTTATCAGTGAACTAATTTTACTTTGTCTTGAAGTAGATTACTCTTGCTTAGTGCATTGGTGTTAACTCCTAAGTGGCAGAGGTCAAATTGGAAAAGAAATTTGATTAGTCAGGCTGACCATTTGGTCAATTTCTGCTTAAGTTTTGAAGGAAATTTAGTTGTCTGCAGTCTCATCTTGGAATTGTTGTGCCTTGTTCCAATATTTATACTGGTTTCTAATGTGTTTCTTTAAGGGATTTACTTTGGCATGCTATTTCTTAGGAAAGCAAAAAGAAGGGTTGACACAGTCAGTCCAAGAATAAGAATTTATGTCAAGTACTGCATGTATTACCCTCTTTGCTTGACCTTACGAGCTATACTTTTCTTACAGATCTGGGACACAGCTGGTCAAGAAAGGTTTCAGAGTCTTGGTGTAGCGTTTTATCGTGGTGCTGATTGTTGTGTTCTTGTATATGATGTCAACTCTGCGAAATCATTTGAGGATCTCAACAACTGGAGGGAAGAGTTTCTGATTCAGGTATATATTATACATATTAGATTCATGCTTTCTTCCCACTCACTTCCCAGTGGATTCAATAAAGAAACTTTGCCTGAATTCCATTTATTGTGATTTGCAGGCAAGTCCGTCTGATCCCGAGAACTTTCCCTTTGTTGTTATCGGTAACAAGATTGATGTGGATGGTGGAAACAGTCGAGTGGTACGTATATAATCTCCATCCAAATAAATAAATAATAAAGAACAACCGTGAAAGTTGAAACATCTTTGCATTGATACTAGTCACTTGTTGAAATTTTCAGGTTTCAGAGAAGAAGGCTAGAGCATGGTGTGCTTCGAAAGGAAACATTCCATACTATGAAACCTCAGCTAAGGAAGGCACCAATGTGGAAGATGCGTTCCTGTGCATAACTAAGAACGCGATGAAGAGTGGTGAAGAAGAGGAAGAGATGTAAGTTCAAAACACGCAAATCACAATCATCAATAGAGAGCTTTTGCTAATGCTTTTTTTTAATGGTTGATTGGTCTGAAACTTGTTGATGTTTGATCTTATAGGTACGTACCAGACACAATCGATGTCGGAACCAGCGTTCCACAGAGGTCTACAGGATGTGAATGCTGAAAGTAATTTTAATTACTACTTAAGCTCTCTCATCGATCACTTATCTCACTTTAAGGTTTTTTTACCATATTGTAAATGTGTTTTCTCTCATGTATATTATTTTTTAAAAAATAGAACCTCAAGGAAAAAAATAAAATAAAAATAGAACCTTAATAAATAAACCGAATTGGACTAGTCGGTGTTTGTGGCCTATGTTAATTATTATGGATCTCTTTTTTTGTCTGCACTAACGACATTTGTCGTCCACTACAAAACACTTTGTTTTTTCTTACTTTTTGTTTCGCTTTAAGGATAACTTTTATATATAATTGTTCCAAAATCTGTTTTAAGAGACCACGACTACCTTCCCCATATATGTGACACATATCTTGTTGAATTGTTAATATTAATTTCATTTGAGTGTATAAACCCTTTTTAGTATATTATTCGTTGAAAAATGTTGATGTTCTTCGAAAGTGGATACAATCATTTGATTTTATATAGTAAATAGCTAATGAACCAAATAATTTGAGTAAAATTATATAGTTTATTCATTAATTTTGTTTTACTCTCTTTCGATAACACTTCATGTATAGACACGTATGAATTTATACCCTTGAGATAAGATTTACTCATATTGATCATCATTTTTCATATGAAATAGTTGTAGAAGAAAAGGACTGTATGTATATGAAGTTATATATCAAAACAATGTGAAGCAAATCTAATTTTCACCACACAAAGACTCACTCACATTAATGGTGAAAACAAAATCCTGGCCCATATAACTAGCTAGGGTTAACATTTCTGCACTAAAACAGAATAAATATTTAGTTTTAACTGTTACCAACTCAAGCATGCAGCTATTATTTTACCTAATACAACACACACACATACGTACGTGCATGTATAAACCGATACATACACAGACACAGAGCTCAAAGCACACATAGATGTGAGACAGTGAGATCAGAGAGGTTTTGATAATCTATTCATTAGGATTGTGGTAGATGATGACAACAGATTTGGTGTCGAAACTCTGTATGAACCTTTCATCTACGGTCCTAAAAGGATTGTAAAGAAGCTCTTTGATCGGTTCAGGCAACGGTTCATTCTTCATCATCTTCTTCCAGTATTGCTCTGCAACTCCTCCTCCTGATCTTCCTTCACTCAGATTCACAAACTGTGTAACAACAGAAATACAACATTCAATGTATATTTTAGAATCTATATTAGGGTTCTACTTTAAAAGAAGTATCTTTAATTTACCAGAAGAAAGCTGAAAAGGATGAAGAAGAGGACGACTAAGTAACGTTGTTGCTTCATGTCTCCCTTTAACTTTTTTTTTTTTTTTTTGTTATTGAGGATTTTATTTTCTTGATCTATGTTAAATCTTTTGGGTGTTAAAGTTTATATATATAGAGAATTAGAGAGAGAGCGACACGTTTCGTTTAACAGTGATAATTTTTTCTTCACTCTTTCTGCATTAATTTTTTTTTTTCTATTTAGTAATCATTTAATATTTACACTGTTGTTAGGTCAACTTTGTGTTTTGTAGTGCATAACCTAATTTTTTCTTGTTTTCCTTATCTGAATTCCAGAGTGGTGTGGGCCGCTTAATTAAGGATTTGTTTTGTGTATCCTTCTTTGGTTTAGTGTGAAATCTCTAAAGTTTGCATATATTTAAATTTGATATGGTTTGATCAAAAGAAAAATTTGAGTCTATATTTTAAAGTCTCATGATCATGGCCCCAACATGCATGATTATAGGGTTTTCCAGACTTTTTCGAGTTTTTCTTACAACTAAAGAAAACCTTCATTATATTATATATATTCCAATTTCTTCATATGCAATATCATATATAATTTTTTAGGTTTCAAAAACTAAAGTTTAAACGATTTAACTAAAATTCTAAAGCATATAAGATTTTTCTGAATTATCCTCAAAAACTTTGTAACGCGAAATCCCCGATTCCTTTTGGGATTATATATCTAAACCAGAGTTCAGTGTTTTGAGAATAGGAGTGGAGTTAATATAATTCAACTAATAAAGATATATATAACAATAACTTCTTCTTTTTTTTGTAAATTTGTATGGAAAAAACCTAAAGCACCACTTTGTTTTAGAGGACCAGAGAGTTGTATTAAATAAGATATGTAGAAGAAATTCATTAAAGTAGTTCTCTAAACAATCTTCCCCAAACATTTGAGTGAATGAGGTCAATAGTCTCCGCTGAAAAATCTACATTAATAAAATTAGTAACTATTTTGGTGTGAAAACTCTTTGTTCTATAAAAAAACAAAACCAAAGCTCTACAAAACTATGGGTGTACGTGTACGGTGCCCAAGGATGTTTTGTAGTAATATGTAAAATGTCAAAATTTGTCAGTTTCATTGTTCCAACTTCCAACAACGAATATGATACAGTACAATATACGCATGCATGCATGATCGTTTCAGAGTATTTAAAGGCACGTATATATTTCATGTGTTATTCTGTATTCTCTTTTAATAAACTCGTTATGTTACATAGGATATATATCCCCAAAAAGAAGTGGTTATATATATATCTTCATTTTTAGGTTGGTATTGTACATTTGTAGCATCGCTTTGTTAAATGGTTTTTGATTCTCTCTTGTTACGATTACGTAGATAACTTGAAGACGTAGTATAGTAATTACATGGAAACAGAGTTGGGTAGTGCTTTTATATTAGGGGTCCATACGAATTCATTTTCTCTGAAAAGATGAAAATATAATGTTGGCTTTTCTCCGTGAGAGTTACTTTAATTTTTTGAAAAAGACATACCATAAAAGTTAGTATAGTTATGTTTCAAAGATGAGATTAGTAATAAAAGTTGGCATTGAAACCAAAAAGAAAAGGTAAGTTGGAAATTACAAGTGAAGCGGGTCAACTTTCAATGTGTGTGCACATTAGCTCCACGACACATAACCCAAAAATCTTTTTACAAAATTGATTTTTTTTTCTTCTTCTTCTTCCTTTCTGACTTTAACATTGATATTATATACTACAATTTAATATTGTCGTATGGTTTCATAATTAGTAGTAGTGGACTTGTACTTATTATAGTAGTTAGATCAAGATCTAGCTAGGTACTTGTCATGAATTTATCTTCTTCGAATTTACTGAGATTTACTTTTAAATAATTTGTGCATGTATAGATGATATTAGGATCCCCTTGAGATGATATTTACTCTAATAAATCATGTTTAATTTTCACAAGGCATAATTAATTAAATAAACTCACAAAAGTTAAGAAAAAAAAACACAAAGCACCTTATATTAATTTATATATCAAAACAACATGAAACAAATCTATTTTTCCCACAAAAAGACTCGCACATAAATGGAAAAAGAAAATCACTTATAGCTAGGGTTAACATTTCTGCACTAAACAGAGTATATGTTAATTTGTTTTAAGTGTATCAAACTCAATCCAGCCGTTATTTACCAAATAAACCACACATTCACATGCATGTGCAACCTTGTCCTTGCAATACATATAAACACAGAGCCATGTATGTATAACTTTAATATATGAGAGATACTTAATCTAAGTTATTCATGAGGATTGTGGTAGATGAGGACAACAGATTTGGTGTTGAAATCTTGGATGAACATCTCTTGTGCTGTCCTAAACGGATTCTTAAGAAGCTCTTTGATTGGTTCAGGCAACGGTTCATTCTTCATCATCTTCTTCCAGTATTCCTCTGCAACTCCATCTCTTCCTCCTGATCTTCCTGATCTAGTATTCACAAACTGTAACAACACAACATTATTAATCCAAAATGTTTCAGATCTTAATTATTAATTAGGGTTCTAGTAACATAAAGAAGATGCTTTACCAGGAGAAAGGTGAAAAGGACGATCAAGAAAACGACTAAGTAATGTTGTTGCTTCATCTCTTCTATCTTTAACTTTAGTGTTTTTGTTTTTAGGAATTTTTTTTCTTTCTCAATATCTATGATGAATCTTTGGGTGGTTATAAAGTTTTTATATATATCACAATTCTCCTCTCTCCTTGTATATTATTTGGAACAACATTTCATATTATATTGTAAGGTCAACTTTGTATTGTGTATATTAACCTATATATAAATATTTTGAGAGTGGTGGGTGGCCTGAGTGAGGGAGTTTTGTTTTATTATTCATTCTCTGGAGAGATCAGCTATTACAGCTCAGATAGCAACACCACCAAATTTTATATGTAGTGAAAATAGATAAGACGACTTATATAATTGTATGTATATAGAAGAACAAAGAAGAATTCTATAATTGATTATGCACAATCGTTGGAATGAGACTCGGCCTTTGGAATACGCAAGAAGACAAACGGATTAGAAGTTATTGGGACACTAGTATGACATCTTTCCATAAAGCTTTTGACGTTTATGTCAAATAAAGGACTCAAAATGAGTAAAGCTAAGTTAAGTATATGCCAATGAGACATTACATTGAAGATAGACACATCCTTGGTTAATGTTGGGAAGTCCTGTTTTTATTAACATTGTATTCACGTGTCGGTGTGCCACTAACAAATTTCTAGGTAATTCAACTAAAAGCTAGTAAAATCTCATACTTATTTAACGTTTGTAGTTTATATATTTTATAAGATTCGAAGTTTTTATGCTTTTTGTGAATTTTTCTGCTTTTTCAATAATTAAGTTTGTGGAAAATTAAATATATGTTTACTGAGTAGTGACACATGTCAACTTGTCACATGCTCTAAGATGGTGTGGTGCTAAAATAGTTGATGAAAAAAGAGTACTATCCTACTTTCATACATATGTGATTTGGAAAACTTTACTAGAAAACCAAAAGCACGTGTTATCTAGTCACTTGTAAAGATTACAACATTATGAATATAAAGATTGAATTTGGCAAACAGTAGAGTACACAAATAACCAAACTGTTTAATTGGCTAGAGAACAATGGATTAATGAGACCCACCACCATTAGTTTTGAAGTTTGATCCTCTGATCTATTCTATCAAAACTGTGTCCATGAAGGCAATGATGTATTGTGATTATGATTAGAACTTAAAAATAATCTATTATATATGATCTTGTCATGATCTGAACCATATGGTGTTTGGCCAAGTACACTCACATTTTACTAATCTTATTTTAACTTTGCTAACTTTAAGTGGCCATGGAATTTTGTCTAAAGATTTGAAACCGCTTCTACAATATTCCCATTAGGAAAAGGATAATCATGACAAACAAGCTTAGCTTTAGAAAGAAAAGTCATAAAGAAAAAGCTGATGATCTTAGTGCTTCTCATAAGTGGATATTGAAAATTTTTGTTAAATAAAGAGTGTATATATATATATAGATAAGATAGATGGGTTGAACTGAATGGTTTTACTTTTTCCCTGATTAAATTGTGGTGCAAATGAAAAGTATCTAATACATTGATCATGAGTTTTATGTTTCCGGTAAAAACTCCAAGTCAAACCAACTTTTATATATGGATGATGACAGATCCGATAAATTCGAAACCATTTTTGAGATTTACAACAATGGTGTAAATCTATTATATATATATACATATTATAATTATATATAGTATCCAAAAAGAATAACATTTTCAAATAGTTTGCAATATGTTCGATTGGTAATTTCATCTAAACAAAATAGCTAGTTTGAGAGCATTATTTAAAAAAAAACAAGTTAAAAAGTGGTAAAAATTTGATGAAAAAGGAGGTATAATAATAAAAAAAAAATTAACAAGACGAATTTAATGTATTAACTTTATTGGTTGCGTGGAAACAGTCGAATATCAGTATAAATATTAAACAAAATAGTTAAAGTGGTAAGAAATTCATGAAATTAAAGGTGGTATAATTACAAAGATGGTTGATGTAAAAAACAGAAATCAACAAGACGAGTTAATGTATAAACTTGATTGGTTACATGGAAACAATTGAGCAGTAGTATAAACTTATTTAATGTGAAGATGGAAATTTTATGTAATCACAAGAGGAAAAAAAGTCGACCTTCATGTCGACACAACCAGCAATCAAGTTTCCTATATTTCGAAGTCTATCACAAAATAGCAATTCTATTTAAAAATATATATACAGTTTATAGTTAGGTTTAGGTTTTAGCAGTTTTTGTGGCAATGAATTTCTCAAATGTTTTATAGGAATGAATCGATGATAATTAATAGATGAAAATGTTAATGTAACCAAATGTTAATATCTCAATTGGTAAAGATTTCTGCCAAAAGTTTAGAGGTCATTGGTTCGAGTAGCATTTGGGACGAGACCATATAACATGTTCTGGTCTCGGGTCTAAAGGGATGTATGGATTTTGATCCACAACTTTTTTGATTATTTTTTTTTAAAATATTAATGTAGCATTTTTGTTAGTTTTTTAAGTTGTTTGTTTAAGATTTGTATTTTCTGTGTAATCGGAGTTTGGATTTGAATAATTTTAGAGGTTACAGAAAATAAAATTGTTTGTAGAGTAGACCATTTTTTATTTATAAATTTATATTATCGTTTGTAGTAATGTAAACTAAATAAAAATATAAAATATTAATAGCAGACTAATACAAATTATTTTTACATACAGTAAAACCTCTATAAATTAATAATGTTGGGACCATGAAAATCTATTAATTTATAGAAGTTTTAATTTATCGATAAATTAATAATTATTAATTTATAGAGAGATTTTCCTAATTTGGAAAGTTTTTTCAAAAAAACTATGTAAAAATAAGATTTAATCATGATAATTAGTATTTTATATAATCAATTACAAATAAAATGATAATTATTATGTCTTGAAAGAGAATGCTAACTATTTTTGATATAGTAAAATATTAGAAATAAACTTTAACAAAAACTAATGTGTCTATATATACATATATTTTGAAAGTTTTATCTAATTATTAATTTATAATATTGTTGGGACCATATATTTACAAAGGATTTTCAAAAAAATTATTATCTTATTATTTTATCGAAATATGTCTAAAATTACACTGGTCCCAACTTTGGACCGGAGAAATTTATTAATTTATAGAGATTATTAATTTATCGAGTATTAATTTATAGAAATATTACTGTATAAGTAAAAATTTTTCACACTATATTGTTGTTCGTTTAATAAAATATAAATAGACTAAACTGTTAACATATTAGTTTATTTTATATACAAACCCACAACATCAAATTAATGTTGTCATTTCAATAGTTTTCGTATTTTTTCACCAATAGTTTACTTTAATTTCCATAAATTTTCACTTTCTGTAATTTAAAACTGTACTAGATTATAATCTATTTTAAAAATAAAATGAAAGCGCTAACAGATATTGATGTTTTATCCACAACATCAATTTAAAGCACTTATCTCTTTAATATGCGGGATTTCATATTGCTAATTTCCGTAATCTTTGACCAAAATTTTGCTTATATCTTCGTAATATTCACCAAAATTTTTACTTTTTATAATTCTTATTCAAACTAGATAATTATCTACTTCGAAAATAGAATAAAAGTATTTATCTCTTTGTAAAATCTTGGAACGACACGAAGCAATCCAGTGGGGGACCAAAATGTTTCAATCAAGGTCATGCATGCATATCTTCTTTCAAGTGTTGGCTTCTAAATTTTAATGCCATTTCTTGAATTTATCAATTTGTAGTAAATATATATATTTAGCCTATTGTCAACTTCTACATGTACTTGTTGGAATTAGCCTTTTTTATTACAAAGTCAACTTATATTTCTCAATCATGCTCACAATATTTCTTAATTCTCTTTTTTTTTTGTTCTTCACTATTACAACTATTGCTCATTAGTATAATGGATATATCCGCTGTCTATAAGAAATTTATTCTCTGTGCTTAATATATGTACTATTTTCACATTTTAACTACATTTTTGTAGACAAATAAGTTTTTTTTTTTTTTTTTGGAGTTTACTACTTAAAAGTATCTCACCACTATAAGAAAAATGTGAAATGATATAAATATCAGTATTTGTTTTTCTGTTTTTCCATTTATATGTTTTTGTCTTTTCAATTATTTATTTTTATATATGAATCGCTTGGGGATTCAACTACAAGATTTTGTGTTAGTTTAGTACTTAGTAGTAGCACTCATACATAAACCATTTTAAAAATCTAAGCACATTATTATTCTCTTAATTAATTAGATTCTTTTAATTTCGTAGAAAGATTAAAACCACATATCTATATACTAAAAATAGATTCCAAGAAACATGAATATTCATTTTTGATTATTTTGTTTTCTTCTTATATTTTCGTGCAAAATTCGGATGATAAAAAACATAATGGGTGATGTATTAAAGTCAAAGATTTTATTTAGTGGGTTGGTTGTCGCCATATAACTAGAGTAATTATGAAAACGAACACAAAATATTAGGTCAATGATACTGCGACTAAGTTCAATGAAAGATCAATGAGCTTTTTAATTAGTTTTTTTTAGTTTATTCTTATTATTATTTATAGTCCTAATTAGTTCTTAAAAAATACTAATCTATTCTTTTAATCCTTTTGAATTCTCCAAAGGTCTATTATTCACATTGTCAACAAAAGATTTATTGAAGAGTACCACAAAACTTCGTGATGAGGATGACACATTCACATTATAGATATAGATAAATTTGAGCATTTAGAAATAATCAACCTATGACAAATAGGCACGTAGCCTTTTCGCACCTTAAACAAATCATCTGATGAAATAGGCTCACAGCCTCAGCTGTACAAGAGGTCAAGGCTTCTTCCACATTGTTCTACTATATAAAAACTATATATGTAACCGAGTGAAAAATACATTAGGTCAATATATCAATTAAGCTAAAACACATAAATATCTTTCAAATCCCCAAATTAGATTAAACTGTGCTACCTTATTCACGTACGTGCATATAGTCTCTATTCATAACATGTTATATATGCTATATATATGGTATCTCAACTTCCTCTAGATATAAGTCTTTTAACTTTATTTATCGGAATCCAAACATTTTATTATACATTTTCTAGAAAAGAGATAACACTCACAACACATAACATATACATTCGCATAATCGTGTATGACGATGACTTCATTTTAACAAAGAGTCTTCAGTCAAAAAAAGAAGCAAAAGTCTTCTTCAGAACATACTCATTGCTCCCTAAGAATGAGCTTTATAGTGTCGATATTTATATCCCTGATTAATAGTTCTAGAGACAACTATCCCTAATTAATACTAGTTCTTACTATTTATATTTACAGATCACTCTGGAATACTTATATCTAATAGTTTAAATGCTTACGAATGCATAATTAGTATACAAATATAATTTAATTCTTTTAAAATTTTCAATTACGACGTAAAGGATGATCTATGAACTATATTTGTTCTTGTATTATAGAATCAATCTAACCAATCTCTATATCAAATTGTTTTATCAACGTATCTTTTACTGTTTCAAATTTAGATGATGATGTAAAAGAAGCTGCAGGCTTCAGAAATTAATTAATTACTATACAAATAAAATTGAAGTAAATCGATTAACAGTACTGATCTACTTATCTGTGAAAATTAAATTAATGAATTAAATCCTTTATTTTTAATTAATGAAGAAGTCAGCCGATCATCATTAATAAGTAAATGGATTATTATAAATATACACAGATGTGTGTTCAGACTTCATTGAGATCTAAACATCACTTGAATACATTTAAAAAAAAAACTATTTGCTCTCTCTCTTTTCTTTTTTAATAAAACAAAAAGTCAAAATATCAAGAAGAGGAAGAAGAAGAAGAAGATAACTCATCTCTACGAAGAGAGATCATGGCTTCTACTTTAAGGCTCTCTAATAGCTTCCTCATCCTCCTACTCTTCTCTCTGGTATGTTCTTCCTCTCACCCATATGCTTATATGATTCTCTATACATATAACATATGAAACTCTCTATCTATGTATATGTGTGTGTGTTCTAAATAAGAGTCTTGGATTCAAAGCTTTATTCTTTAGATGCTTCTTGAAAGTATTTACTATTAAGAATCTTACAAGATATAAAGTTTGTAAATCAATTTAATTTGTACATAAGCTAAGTTTCCGATCATTATTTTTACCACATTGCATGTTAATTAGGAAAAGAAAAAAAAAAGTCTTCTTTTTTTGTCGTTTTGGCAACCTTTTTGAAAAAGAAAAAAAATATTAAAATTGATAAACAAAACTTCAACTTCGAATATAATTAATTTGAAGACTTTGGTTTGTAATTTCGAATGGGTTTTGTGTTTCTTGAATGTAGTGGGTGGTGGAGGCACACACGTCAAGAAAGCTGATATCGATCAAGGAACAAGAAGGTCAAGATGTTACTCATTTTCTCAAAGATGGTGAGTTCGATGATCCTTCACTCAACGTGTATTTCACACTCAGTGATCTCAAGCTAGGAAACAAGTTAAGGGTTTACTTCCACAAAAATGATTTCCAAAGGCTTCCTCCACTTCTCACAAGAGAACAAGCTGATCTCATTCCTTTCACCAAGTCAAAGCTTGATCTTCTTCTCGACCACTTCTCTATCTCCAAAGACTCTCCTCAAGGGAAAGCCATAAAGGCTACCTTGGGACATTGTGATGCTAACGAAATCGAAGGAGAGCATAAGTTTTGTGGCACTTCTCTAGAGTCAATGGTTGATCTTGTGAAGAAAACATTGGGGTATAACGTTGACCTCAAGGTCATGACGACTAAATTAATGGCACCTACACTAAACTCGATAAGCTACGGTGTGCATAACTATACATTCGTCGAGACTCCTAAGGAACTTGTCGGGATAAAGATGTTGGGATGTCATAGAATGCCATACCCTTACGCTGTTTACTATTGCCATGGACACAAAGGTGGAAGCAGAGTCTTTGAAATCAATATGGTGACGGATGATGGGAAACAAAAGGTTGTTGGACCAGCTATATGCCACATGGACACATCCATGTGGGACGTGGATCATGTAGCTTTCAAGGTGTTGAAAATGGAGCCGAGGTCAGGACCCGTTTGCCACTTCTTCCCTCTTGATAACATCGTGTGGGTAACTAAGTAAGAGAGAATAGGCTAATTAGGTAATATGTAATGTGAGTGGATGCATGTGTCTTGTAATATCTATGGTTTGGAAAAGTAAGAAAGAAAAAAAAGACTGCCTTGTTGGTTTTTGGTGTTGCCCTCTTTTGTGTGACTTGAAGCAACGTGACAATGCTACATGTAACATATAATATAATGTTACATAACATGTAATATATAATACTATAGTACTTTATATACCGGCATGTGTGTACGTAGCTCTTTTTTTAGCGACGTTGCAGACGACGGAGCACTAGATCACCGCTGCTAAATATTGTTTTTTTTTTTTTTTAATAATCAAAGAGGTTCTGGGTCAAAACTCATATATATCCTCAGACCTGGAATTAGAGCATGTTATATGGTTTCGTCTCAAACGCTATTCGAACCCTCGATCTCTGAACTTTTGCCAGAGATCTTTATCAGTTGGGTGAAATATTGTTTTTACCAAGTTTATATGAGAATATATCATATTGCTAAACACAATATCACTTGATATTTGATCTAGAAATCAATGGACTAATTTCTTTAATTTTTCCTAAAGAAATTAAGTGATGTTAGTTTTTTACAAGGATATGATGGAGAGATTTACTATCTATATTAACATTTTGTTATCCAAGGTTTATGTTTGGAAAACCTGGTTATTTCTACTTAGTCGTTAAGATTGTGTTCAATTTTTTTTTTTTTTTTTTGAATGGTTGTATTACAAGGATTTCATGTATCATGTAAACTCTTTTTAACACCTTATTATTGATATGCCATGGAAAAATACATTAGTTTTAAAACAAAAATATGTAGAAGTGAACGAAAATATGAACAAATATATAGATAAGTTCATTGATCACGTCTATCTACAAAATGAATCAGTTGACTAGTTTTAAGGATATAGGCATTATAATGGCGAAGTGATAGCATGATTTAAGTTTTTTTAGTCTTATCTTATCCGATTAACACATTATTTTCAACGTTGTACATACATCAACACTTTTTTTTTCTGACACATCAGTTTTGCAAGTAAATATATAGAAATTTGGGTTATCCATCATTTACTAATCCTAATTTCAAACTGAAAATCTCATGCTGACAAAAACAACAATCTAATAATGGAAGAGGAGATATGTGATGAGGTGAGATGAGAAGAAGTTCTATTTAATAATTTTCTAACATTATCCAATAAGAGAGTTTGTAATAAGGCCGCCACACTTACCCACTCATATGTTGGGCTTTTTCCATTGTTGGGCTATTTCATCTGACCCAGTTTGTTTTAGCATGCACAGCTGCGCTCTAATTTTAATAAATAAAATAAAACCTCTCTTTTTAACGTGAAGTTAATTAAATTTACATATTATTGATGTTGACAAAAAAAAAGTTAACTAAATTTACATATATGGTACTTTATAAGATTAAGACATTATTCTCTCTGATCGGTCAAAAAAAATAAAAGAAGAGAGAGTTAAGATAAAAAATCTAGAAAATAGCTGTCTGATAACAGTTTTTCAAAATTCAAAAAAATAAAAGAGGTTTGTTATTTATTAGTATATAAAGGTTTATCAAAAATCTCTTTGTTTGTTAAGATATTTGTTCCAAATTTGAAATAATTAATTTTTAATACCGAAAATAATAATAATAATAGAGATATCTCATCATTTCTCTCTTCTCTTGTTACCGCTCGCACTGAGATGCGTAACAGAAAAGATCCTTTCTCTCTCTCTCTCTCTCTCACTCTCTGCACTTTTTCTCGGCATTTTCTCTTATATTTTCCCGTCGTTTTCTCGCATCCCCAAATTAAAACAGTGTACGGATCCACACACAGTCACACCAGTACGCACAAAAAGAAAAAACACTGACGCCATTTCTCTTTTTTTTGTCGTTTCGTTTCCTCCCACCTGAAAACATGGACGACGTTAACGGAGTTAATTACCGGAGGAGAAGATCTGCACGACGTCATCAGATCAACGATCTCCCCAATCGCCGCAACCAGACGACGACCACCAACGAACCTCCGAACCACGACGTTCAGGCGGCTAATCGTGATCATGAAGTCGATGAGTCTCTTTCGCTAAGCTTGGGTTCGACATCGTACCCCTCCTCTCATCACTCTCAGATCCCTTCTCCTCCGGTGACTACTAATTCATCGCTTCGTCTAGCACCACCGTCGCCTTTCGCTGGACCTATGACGACGTGGCCAACACCACATGCTGCTGATGATGATTTCATGGCGAGTTCCAAGGCTTATTCATCTGTGCCTTTTTCCATGACGACGACGCCGTCGTATCTCAATCTGTCATCGTCGTCATGGCTGAACAGCTCTTTTCACCAGAGAGGATCTCAAGGATCGTTTCCGACGATGATTCAGCCTCCGACTACGGTTAATCGTTTCTCCTACTTTCTCCCGCCGGCTCAAACTACTCCGCAGATGAGTACGATGATAATGGCACCACCGAGAATAAACACCGCCGTTCGTAATTCCAGACAACAACCCGCCGGAAATCAGAAATCCGATACGATCCCGCCGCCGTTTCCATGGGCGACGAACATACGAGGGGTGATTCATAGCCTAGAGTATCTCGAATCGAAACAGATCACAACAATCACCGGAGAGGTTCAATGCAGACACTGTGAGCAAGTGTTTGAGGTGAGCTACGATCTGAGGGAGAGATTCAGGGAGGTTGAGAAGATATTCCTGAAGATGAAAAGGATCATGAGGGAACGAGCTCCTCCCATGTGGTTAAATCCAGAGCAACGGAGGTGTGAGCTTTGTGGCCGTGACAAAGCTGTGAAGCCTGTGGTTGCTGAATCGAAGAGTCAGATCAATTGGTTGTTCTTGCTTTTGGGTCAAACCTTGGGTTACTGTACATTGGAGCAGCTCAAGAATTTTTGTAAACACTGCAAGAGTCATCGTACTGGTGCTAAAGACCGTGTGCTTTACTTGACGTACCTGGGTCTCTGCAAGATGCTTGATCCTACTAATAGTCTCTATAACCGTGGTGACACCAACACTAAACGGTGAGAGCTCTGATATTGATTCTATCCTTGTTCTATTCAGATTTTAGAATTTACGTTTTGGGTTGAAGGATCATTGAAACTTTGATTTCGCATTTGGACTGTCGATGTTGCTGCTTCTTTAGGTGAATAATTCTGTGACAAAATAAATATTGCAATTGCATTGCATGGGTTTATCGTTTTGTCGTCTTCTTCCTTCGTTGTATCTTTTTATCTCTTGGTCTTTTGTTTCATTAATATCTCATTAATATATATTATGGTTTTTATCATGATTCATGAAGTCTAATACACGAGTATAATTTTGTATTAGTTTACTTGTTATTTTCAATTCTTACATTATAAATGATACTTAAGTATCTCAACTGTCAGCTCTGATTTATTTTATTTGATTGTCTTATAACCAAATTTCACAAAGTAAAAAGATCTTTACACTGTTTTCAATCGGTCTAAATCTTAACGGGGTTTTTAAATCTATCGCAAATTCAAATTTAAATTTTTCATATCATAATCTATTCATCATCACACGAAAGCAAACATATAAAACCAATTTATGGGGAAGCTTCAAATATTATAGCTCTCGATAAATATGATTTGGTTTGCCCATTAATAAAATTTCTAATTTTTTTATCTAAAGCCGGCCACAAATAAACCGACGGTTAGATTTCTTATTATCACTATGCTCTGTTGTTCAGTACGAATCAGACCGGTTAAACTGATTTGGTATAAAAACCTATTTCTGATACTTTACGAATTTACCCTTTCGGACATCCTCCACAACGGACAAAATTATCAACCGGAGGGCGAAGAGGAGAGAGAGAGAGAGAAAAAAAAGAAAGAGAAGGGACAAAAGAAAAAAAAAAGTAAATGGCGACGCAGGCGACCCACGAGCCCTTCCATGGCTGCTTCGTCTTCCAACACAGAAGCACGAATTGAACGAAATTTGAATTCTATAACCAATTCCCACACTCACATTTATGAATTTTCCCTTCTTGGTTGATCGTTCGAGATTTTGACTCCTTCTTCAGGCAGATCTGATCGCGAAAGTTTCCTTTTCCCAGCTAGTTTGTTCCGTGGTGTTCGTTTTTTTTATTGTGTGATCGGAGATGGAGGCGTTGACGGAGCTTTGTGACATTATAGCTGAGAATCCGAAACAGTTCTCGGAGAAGTTAGCTTGGATATGCGGCCGTTGTCCACAAACGGAATGGCTTCTCGCTGATTCGCCCAGGGTTTCTCGGAGTCATCTCAACGCCGTTTTGGCCGTTGCTCGGATCATCTCCAAGAATCCTGAGTCTATCGATAACCGTGCCAAATCCTTCGTGAATGAGTTTCTCAGCGCTATACCTGCATCGTTCCGTCGTTCGTTTTGGCCGCATTCGTTTCCTTCGCAGTCGATCTCTGCGTTCTATTGTGATTTCCTGAAATATCTTTCGTGTGCGGCGGATCTCTCGCCGGAATTTGGTACCGAGGTTGCTAGGTTTACAGGTGAGGTTGTGATTGCCGCCACGAGTTGCGGTGAGAGCGACGGTGATCCATCTATTTCTAAGGCTTTCTTGGTCGCGCTTTCTCAGAATTTTCCGTCAATTCTGCAGTCTGATGGAGATAAATTGATTACAATGCTGCTCGAGCAGTTTGTTGTGAACCGTGCTCCTGCGTCTCCCAAAGAACAGCGGCAGCAGACCTCAGGTAACTCTGAAACTTCGTCGTCTCAGGGCTCTCCTATTAGTACGAACCGTTATCCCTCGGGCAAACCTGAGGAGTCTAGTCCTGGGGACGAGGTAGCTAGCAATGGGTCCAATGTATCCTCTAAGAGTTCATCGTCTGTAGTGGTGAATGGAGGTAGTATTGTGTGGAAGAGTGGTGTTGACCAGTTGAGTTTTGGATTTAGTGAGGGGAGTGGTGGCGCTAACCCTGTGTTTAGACAACAAGTGGCCTCTTTTGAGGACGAATCCATTGAGTGCTTGGAGAAGCAAGAGATTGCCTTTAGATTAATAACCCATATCTTGGAGAAAGTCAAAATTGATTCTAAACTTCAAGATCAAGTGAGATTTATAGCAAAGAGGCAGCTCCAGTCCATGTCTGCATTTCTGAAGGTAAATGCTTTTCTTGGTGAACTGGTGATATATTATGGTATTTTCTAGAATGCTTAAAGCCATATATCTTGGTGAAGCAATTGTTGGTTGATACTCCCTTTTCCTGTCTAAATTTGGCATGTTTTCATGAGGGTGGACCTTACCGATCTTGACTTCTTGAGTGGAGCATGGATTTTTAGAAGAGATGATGACTTTGTTTCTGCTTTTTTTTTAACAGTCAAGAAAGCGCGACTGGAACGAACAAGGCCCAGTTCTGAAAACTAGAGTCAATGCCAAACTGTCTGTTTATCAGGCCGCAGCTAAAATGAAAATCAAGAGCCTGGTGTCTCTTGAAACAGATGGAAAAACATCTAAAAGGTTGGTCCTGGAGACGCTTGCATTGCTTTTAGATGCTGCAGATGCCTGCTTGACATCTGTGTGGCGGAAAATGAAGGCATGTGAAGAATTGTTCGACTCTCTGCTTTCTGGGATTGCGAAGATTGCAGTGGCAAGAGGAGGGCAGCCACTACGTGTGTTGCTTATCCGTCTTAAACCACTGGTACTGGCTGTCTGTGCACAGGTAATTTTGTTATATGTGCACTAATCATAACTCATTCAAGCAACATACTCTAATCTACTGATGATCGCGTCTGGATGCCCATAGAAGTATAATCGAACATATAATGTCAGAAGTTTCTGGATGGATTCTGTTGTAGTTCATTTAGCTTTAAATTATTGAATGCATTTTTTATTCATTTTTAATGCCTGTTGGAACAGCCGGATACTTGGGGGAGCAATCAAGGAGCTATGCTTGAGAGCGTATTTAAGACTAGTTGTGAAATTATTGAATCTGGCTGGGCCAAGGACCGAGCTCCAGTGGACACCTTCATTATGGGATTAGCTTCAAGTATTCGTGAAAGAAATGATTATGAAGAACAGGTGGAAAAATAATTTTACCTTTCCCTTAACTGGTTAATATCCCTATCTTATGTTAGACTGTACTTTTATCCTTCCAATAAGGCTCATCATTTGGTGCCCAGGTTGATAGAGATAAGCAAGTACCTGCTGTTCAGCTTAATGTTATTCGGCTGCTAGCTGATCTCAATGTTGCTGTTAAGAAGCCGGACGTAGCTGACATGATTTTACCACTTTTTATTGAAAGCCTGGAAGAGGGTGATGCTTCGACTCCTAGCTTTTTGCGACTCCAAGTATGGTTCCAATTTTTACACTGATACCTGGCTGCCTGATTAGTAACTTTTATATGCTACTTTCTCGAACTTTCGTAATGGCAGGAACTGCTACCATCTATGTCCTTTTTCGTTTTTTTTTTTGACATATTTAGTTTTGCATTTATGCTAATTTTGTGCAGCTTCTTGATGCTGTTTCTCGGATAGCAACATTAGGGTTTGAGAAATCTTACCGTGAGACCGTAGTTTTGATGACCAGAAGTTATTTGAGCAAACTATCGAGTGTCGGATCTGTAGAGAGCAAAACATCAGCACCAGAAGCCACAACCGAGCGTGTAGAGGTATATGTCATTTGATACATGGTAGTTTACTAGTTTGTTGTGTTTCTCCTTATTTTTACTATGACTTTGATGCTCACAAATCCAACTGTCGTGTAGACTCTTCCTGCAGGTTTTCTTACAATTGCTAGTGGTCTTAGGGATACAAAATTGCGTTCAGACTATCGCCATCGTTTGCTTTCCTTGTGTTCAGATGTAGGCTTGGCTGCTGAGTCCAAAAGTGGAGGGTAAATTATATAATCTTATAAGCTTTGAGTTTTTTTTCTTGAAGGGTTAGTTTATTTTTAAGTGTTTTCTGTTAAAATTTATATTTGGGGATAAAAAATCTGTGCAAATTTTAGAAAATCTACTGGTGTATAATCGGAAACTATCCAGTTAATGTTTCTCCACTAAAACGTTTTTGCATGTTTCATTTTTTTGTAGGAGTGGTGTGGATTTTTTAGGGCCTCTTCTTCCTGCAGTTGCAGAAATTTGTTCAGATTTTGATCCTACTATGGATGTGGAACCTTCACTTTTGAAGTTGTTTCGTAATCTCTGGTTTTATATAGCCCTTTTTGGCTTGGCACCTCCTATTGTGAAAGCTCCGTCACCAGCAGTGAAGTCAACTTCCAATTCAGTGAACAGTGTGGGAAGCATGAGTGCAACTGCTTTGCAAGCTGTGGGAGGTCCTTACATGTGGAACACTCAGTGGGCGCTAGCTGTTCAACGAATTGCTCAAGGCACTCCTCCCCTGGTAAGTCATTCTAGAAGGTCATCTTCAGAGTTTAATGTGTGTTTCACCAAATTATGAGCCTACTAAATACTGCATCTTACACCTCCCAGGAAATACTTGTTCTGTAGTTTAATTTAATCTAATTGACTAAATGCGCATTGCTCTTCGTAGGTCGTCAGTTCTGTAAAATGGCTTGAAGACGAGTTAGAACTCAACGCACTTCACAATCCTGGTAGCCGTCGAGGAAATGGAAATGAAAAAGTAGCGTCGACTCAGAGACTTGCTCTTTCAACTGCCTTAGGTGGCCGAGTTGACGTTGCAGCAATGAACACCATCTCAGGTTAACAACTGATGAGTTATTTATAATATCTGCTAAATGGGTTATGGTGTGCTTTTCTTAGATACTTAGAAATCCATTTCTTCTATTCTTTCAGGAGTGAAGGCTACATATTTGCTTGCTGTGGCTTTTTTGGAGATCATACGTTTTATTAGCAACGGGGGTATCCTTAATGGTGACTCAAGCGTATCTGCCTCTAGAAGTGCCTTCAGTTGTGTGTTCGAATATCTAAAAACTCCAAATCTTACTCCTGCCGTTTCTCAGTGTTTGACGGCTATCGTGCATAGAGCCTTTGAAACAGCAGTCTCATGGCTGGTATGTAAATACCTGGTCATAGTAGTTAAGCTAATTTTTCGTTTAAAACCATTTAGTTTCAACCCTAGCGCAATCAAGGCCCTTGTATATGCATTTTGGTCTTTCTGTTATCAACAACAGCTCGGCTTTTCTTTTCATTTAAATGTTCTAGTAATATATGAATGTTATGAAAACTTTCATTTGGTTTCAGGAAGATCGAATATCTCTTACTGGGAAAGACGCTCGTAATAGAGAACTGACAACGTATGCACATGCATGTTTCCTCATAA